ACTGCCAAAGTCATGGCAGCCTTTGCACTATTTTCTTCTCTAAAACAGTATGTTTAACAGTTGAAAGACCTCTGCAGTGCCATCTTTAATTCTCTTGACCTCAACAACAGAATCATTGTTTTTTTTTTTCTTAAATTCCTCTCAAAAATGATTTTTGATAGCACAATGATAACATGATACCTCGTGTAAGTTAAAATGTTATTTGAAAAGTGAAAAGAACACATTGATATAAATGAATTTGATTTTAACTGAAGAAATAGCCGTCTTAACACTATTAAACTGAATAAATTTTTACAAGTCAATTTTAGTTTGTTCCAAACTCTAGCCCACGTATTAGTGGGAACTAGTCTTTAAGACAGATAACTATCTTAAACCAGAGTAAACATCAGTGTTCCTATCCTGATGAAGCTATAGCTAAAGGGCCAAAATTTAATTCCACAAATCAAGAAATCTGGAAAATACTCATCTAGAAGAAAAGAAAATACCCTTTTTTTCTACTCTTGATTTAGGGCAGAAGAAATGCATCTACAGTAGATGTTCCTTTTAAAAGAAGACCATCCCCATCCATCACACACACACACACACACACACACACACACACACACATACACACACACACAAACTTTTTCATAGATTTACTTGTTTCAAAACTGCCAAGAGCATTGAACTTCAATATAAGAGTACCGAGTAACATCCCCAAATGTGTAAATATATTACATTGTGGTGGGCACTCTGACCGATTGACCTGGCCTATGAAAGCAATGCTGCAAAAAGGCTTGTTAAACATTAAGCCATTCCCCGATGGCTTATCCAGAAGCAGAAGGCAATTTAAAGAAACAAATTCAATGTACAACTGAGAAAGCATGCAAGGTAGACAGTTCCCGAAGATGGCACATTTTCTTTCCATTTAATAAGAAGGTGAAAGTGTATTTTTCCTCTGCTTATAGACTAGATGGTATACCCAGTGGAAAAAGACACACAACAAAACAAAAAACAAAACAACAAAAAACAAGCATACATTCTCAAATTGCTCAATAGAGTGTCTGAATCACTTACCACTTAAGGCAACTGCATTTATGCCACTTTTTAAAATGTATAAAATGCCTGAAGAAACATTATATGAACAATGACATGAGTTAGGCTGCAGACTAAGTCAAATAAACACTTGCCTCAGGTTAATGGAGAAGTGTGAAATGTGCCTAAGTGGCTACAGCCACTACCATCCATAATTACCATGTCTCCCAGCTTGAGAGACCCTGAAGCAGGAGACTGCATCTCCCAAATAATTTGAATGTGCCTCCAAGGGTTAAAAAAAAAGTGTTTAACCAACTAGGCAGGGTATTTTCAGAAAATGGTAAACTATTACATGTTCTCCATTTTTCTTTTGTTGTTGTATGTTGAGTGTTCTGCAAAAACCTTCTTAGCTTCCAATCCAAGTGAAGCTGGGGACACTAAACTGGGCTGTTTCAGGGATACCTTAGCTACACACCCACTCCAGGTTTCATTGGCCACAGTTTGTGTTTATTCAAATCTTCCTTGACTAGGACTGGTTAGAATATATCACATGATGCCTAACTTTTTGTGTTGACTCTAAAGAAGCATTCATCAGTACTTAGCTAGCCGTAAGGCATAATTTTCCTTCAAAATATAAAGCTATCAACACTGTTCATGGCAAAACTTTTCCCTTTACTGGTAGATGTCTTCCAACTGACTTTTACTACTATCTGACATAAAATGTCAAATGCTTAAAAATGCATAAAAGAGGAACTTGAGGGATAGCATATAGTAATTAATTTACTGGTAATATACAAGGTATAATATAGCAAAATATAATGAGAAACTCTGAGTGGCAGAAGGTGTTATTCCTTTGAAATTACAAAAGAATTATGTGAATGAGGTATCATATTTACACAAGGAGACAGAAGAAATGAAGGACAAGAAATAAGACAGAGGGTGGGGTGGGGGAGGAATGCACTAGGAAGAATTCATACTTTTAAAGTTTTGGGTGACTTAACATATTTAACACATAGTGTATAGAAATAGCTATTTGAAAATAATAACTATTCAGTGTCTTTCCTGTTTAAAAAGGAAGTTTATAGATTTAGACCTCAATTCTACGTAAATTCCATTATTCATGGCAAGTACAGTTTGATAGCATTAGGTGGGAACTTTCATCTTGATGTCTCAAAGGGATCTTCCCTGAACATCATGAAGCATTTCCAAGCCTTTGAAATTTCTGCTAAAAATCAGCTACTGCGATGCTTTGTGTGGACCACATGGCAGTTTGTTGTTTCATGGTCTCTGGTTGAGGCCAAAGGTGTAATAACCTGAGATGCTCTGATTTAGAGAAAAGGGAATGGATCTTGATGTGAGGTATGTAAAATGCACCATGATTTAAACTAATGCTGACTTTAGACCTGGATTTATGATTTTTCTGAATTATATTTGAATTTTCTTATTCAGAGAATGGTTAGAGATTACTACATGAGCTTTCTCTCCTTTTGAAATACTAGAACTTAATACTGATGTTAATATTGGCTCTGATCAGTAGCCTTATCTTCTCTCAGATCTGATAAACACTTGGGAAAAATATCTAGTCTATACTGCTTTTTCCCAAAAATTCGAGGTCAGAGTAACTTTGGGAAGATACTAATTACAATAAACATCGGTAAAGATTCATCAAGATGAAAGATGATCTGGAATTCCTACATTTGGAAGTAAAGGGACAACTGAGTAACATGATATCATTCAAATTCATGATGAGTACACAAATTAAATGTTACTTTAATAAGGAATCGACTTTAAAGGCCCATACAATTCCTAATTATCTGGATTTTTCTAACTCAGAAGCAGCTCTGACCAGGAGATATTCTTCCTCTACTTTCTTCCCCAAATGAGGCAGTTCTTATAGTGATCTCCCGTTATATTTTCTCTTCTGTTACTTCAATACACTCTGAGCACATGCATCATTAGGGAACAAACATCAGTGTTCATTAACATGGTGTTTTCACCCACTTAATACAGCATAATGGCCTTAAAAAATTTACTTGTAATCTTCAAACTTACTCAGCAATAATGAGTCTCAAGCATCTTTGAGCTACATAAAATTCCTCATGCTGCTGTTCATTCTTAACGGTCTATTTTGACGAGAATGACAACAGTAAGAGCTCACGATGAGATTGAAAAGGACGTATAGGCAAAGTCAAGAGGAAAACTACCAGAGTAGCTAATTGTTATCAACTGTTATAACTGTAATTTTAAAAGATTACATATTAAAAGAGTAATTCTTGTGGAAAAAAATATATAGGTTTTTTGTTTTTTTTAGTCAAAAAGACTCTCAATTATTATGAGGGTAGCACGGAATATTAATTTCAGAGTCGAGACTAAGCATTTCAATCCCTTCATCTTTTCTCTTTGCAGTGACTTCTCTGACTAGGTAGCAAGTTCAGCTCGCCTTCTCTGCAGAAAGTTGCTTTAGTATCCAAACAATTCCTCAAGAAACTTTCTGAAGAAGAGGTCACAGAACCACAGAATATTTAAAAGCAAAGTGAGAAATTAAAGCTGAACCTTGGAACAATGGGAACTAGAGTCAATACTTCTCCAAAGCTGAACTGCCAGATACAGATCCACACATTAGGGGACCCTCTACTTCCTAGCTGCCAAATCCCATAAGGTTAAAGTACACGACACAGCTATTAAGAATTTATATAAAGTTAACTGCAGTAAAAATATGTATCAACTACAATGTGCTACTTCAGAATTCTTGGTGAATAGCCCAATAAAATTATAAATAAGGAGAAGATATTCAAGATATACTTAGGTTGTGTGTCTGTGTGTGTGTGTGCGTGTGTGTGCTTCATGGACACAAAAATGTCCCTTTGAACTAAAACTTATCATTTTGAGAATAAGTATTAAAGTAAAAAATGAGCTCAAATAATAGGTGATCAAATGTTTTATCTTTGCATAACTAGTAATTTCTTTAATATGGTACAGCAAAGGCCATATTACGTTGTAATTTTCTTATGTATCTATAAGTATATTGATATTTTCAGCACCCATTTCCAAGCACAAACAGACCAATGAAGGAATGAAACTTTCTGACTTCACTAGGAGGTGTCAAGAAGCTGAGCTAATCCTCAACAGGGTTTCCTGCCCAGGATGGCTTTTATTGTGTGCAGGCATTTTTTGCTTGTTTCTATTTTCACTATGTGTCTGTATATGGAGGCTGGATGCTGACACAGTGTCTTTTTCTCTGGTGTTTCCACTCAATTCTTTAAAGCCATCTCTCCCCAAGCCATGATCTCACAGACTGCCTAGTGCCAGTGAGCTCTGGGGACTGGCCTGTCTTTGCATCCTTAGGGAGGAAGGAGTAAGAGATCCGCATAAGCACATTCAGCTTTTCTGTGGGTGATGGGGATCTCACCTGGTTTGATTGTGTGTGCCAGGCACTGTACCAAAAAGAGCATTTTTCTCTAGTCCTAGAATCAATTTACTTATCTATATTATCTGACCTTTCCACTACAGATAAAATTATTCAGGAAAATTATTTCTATGTGGTAAAAAGGTTTACAGTATTAATGTGAAGGAAAATACTTTAGAGCTAACAGAGATATATAGCTACTAGAGAGAGATATTATACAGAAAGCCAGAAAACTTAAAGTTAGTGTGCAAGACAAGACTCCAGCTTCATCAAACAGTAGAACAGTTTCAAAGACACTCTCAAACTGCTCCTAAATCAAGCATATTATTACCTAAACAAGGTTATGAATAAGTAAAGTCAGGAAAAGTCTTAGAAGGTTGTGTCTGAGGGACGGCAGAGTACAATAATCAGAATTCACACTGCACGTGTACAAAACGGTCAAATAACAAATTCAACAGAACTTTTAAAAAATTGTATATCTGAATCATACACCAAATAATCAACATATTGAGTACCATGTGTGTGTTAATTACTATCGTAAGATTCCTAGATAAAGGACAGGTCAGGTTTCTAGGCTTACCTGCACACTTTGTTCTAGTGATGAGTGGTGGTCCTGGGAGCCCAGTTCCCCCTTCACCAGGTCGGGTAAGCAGGACTCGAATCTCATACTCTGTATCTGGATCTAAATGCCATAACTTGTATGTTGGAGCATTGACTGCATGGGTTTCTGTCCAAGATCCCGACGTCATTCGATACTCTACTTCTTTCAGGATGATGGGGCCATCACCAATAATAGAGTTGGCATTTAGTTGGATCAGTAAGTAAGTAGGCCCAACACCAAGCAGCTGGGGAGGAGCAATGGGTCTAGGTGGTTCTAGAAAAGAAAAATGTACACTCTAATTAGGTAAAAGTCTTAAAACAGAGATATACTAACAGTAACTACATATTATAAGTAAATATATTATGTATAATATGTGACCAAAAGCTAGTAACAATTTAGGAGCACACGGTAAATGTTAAATGGATAACATGTGGTTGGTTGGCACATGCTTGCAGTCCCAACAGATAGGGTGTAGAGGTTGGATCACAGGCTGCTGCAAATGCGAGGTCAACAAGGTGAGTTCTAAACCAGGCTGGGCAAAATTGTGTGTCTGGCCCCAAACAAAAAGCAGTAAAGAAGAAAAGGAAGGAAGGAAAGGAAAGGGGAGACAGGAGGGAAGGGGAGGAGAGAAAATGTAAACTAGAAAGTAATGATGTAGCAACTGTAATTTAAAGAGCCATTGGTTTTATGAAGGCCTTTGGTCAATTTAGCAAAAGTTTTCTCCTCTTAAAGACATGTACTTCCAGGAGAGAATGTTCCAAAGGCACAGCAGTGAACAGTGACATAAAGAAAAGCACTGGAGAGGAGCAGGTTTCATCAAACACGCAGGGAGGTGAGCTCAGATATTTTTTTCCTCTTTATTTGTTTTTGCCTCTGCTCTTGTTTTGCTTCTGGCAACTTCAAAGTTCCAGCAGATGAGCTAATGAGGAGGCGCCATAAAGATATCAGGAAAGCTGGGACCACGGCCCCACCTCACAGAGTAGGACATTGAAATTTACACTCAGAAGAAATGCCCAATCACTGTATATCACTGGTCCCCAGAGTAGCATGGAATAGGCCATATATCACTTATTAAGCTCAAATGTCAAAGGGACATTGCAATTTAATTTTGGGTGGCTTAAGATATTTTGCTTGACAGAAACTTTGGAAAATATTATTTCAACATGTGAAGTTATGAGATGATGAATAATGTATTGGGGCAGGTTTCCCCTCAACAGTAATACCAGTGAAAGACTGAGCTGTCTCTAGAGGACTCGACACAGGGCTCTGTGTGCACAGCCTGTCCAGTGGAATACAGGGCATAGGGGTCTCATTAATAGACTGTCATCGGGTGGTATTTCCCCTTCAACTTCTAGACCACACTTCTCAGGGACTTAAAAGGGTTTAAAAGAAAGTATTAATCTTAATAAGGTGATAATTGTCCTAAAATTGATTTAAGAATTAATGCTGAAAAGTCACAGGAAATCACATACCGGAAAACTATTAACATAACCTCACAGGGCTCCAGGTTGGCCTGGATTGAAAAGAACACGAGTCAAGACTGCACAGACAGAATCTTTTGAACTACTAGTGGTAATATGGTACATAAAAGAAGGAAGAGAAGAAAAAAAAAACTGCACAAAGAGGGTCTCACCAGCTTGGACAAGTTTACACTAGTCTTCAGATATGGCCGAACATTGAGTTTTATTTATAATTTTAAAAAGGTTACTAGCTTAAAATTCTTTCCAATCACAAATAACCACAAACTAGAGACAAGGTTATCTGGTTGGAATCTCTAAACAGACTACAATTTCTTTTGAGAATACAACTTCAATGGTTGTAAGACTAAAACTTGCAGGGCATGTTCACTAACTACTACTGACAAGGTTCTTATGCTGGGTATTTATATAATGTGCAGGAGACATATTTATACTTATTTTTTTAATTTTGATAGGGGAATTTTTTATATATATCCATATATATATAAAGGAAATAGTTTACAATAGTACTAAATAATAGAGATGATGAACTTTTCTCTATTGCAAATAAATATGAAAATAAGTGGTCTCTTCTTGAATAGATCCATTAAGGAAATAGCTTTCAGACTGGCTGCCAAAGAGTAATATAAGCTGTAATTTACCATACTCATGCATGAAAACGAAGCCTAGTTACCATGTGTTATACGTGCTGTAGGCATCTACTGCTATTTCTACAGAAAGTAGGTCATAATGCCTACTCTACAACCTTTACACATACAAATTACTTTGAATGATTTGGAGAAGTAATTGCCAGTAATGAGGGAAGTTCTGGCCTAGCTAAATGGTGGTCTGTTTCACAAGTGAATTCAATAAAGGTCGTCTTCATAGGGAACACTTGAATCCATCCAACACTGTAGAGTGTTCATCCATCAGATAAAGTAGGTGAGAGGAAGACTTTTCATGCCAAGACATTGCAATTTGCAACTCCAAAGCTTACAAGTTAATGGTAAGGGCATGAATTCTCTACATGCTAAGTTGACATGGATCCAAAAGAATGTCTTACAACACGTAGTGTCTCCAAGCATTATAGTTTCTGGATGAAGGGGGCTGTTTCCATATGTGCAGTGTTTGTTTTCATTCCAGATAGCTCATCCAGTGACTAATTTCAGTTATGGTAGGAAACAATGTCAAATTCACAGCTCACGGGGGCTCTGCCCCAAAGTAACAAGGCCTCATTCATTTTAAGGCTCACCAATCTCCTGAAAAGGTCTGATACACAGCATGAAAAACGAAAAGTTAAAACAAATCCAAAACATGGTAAGTGAATTATAACGTTCCTTGAACTACATGTACAGATATTGTAAAAGCTGATCTTATGTGTACGTATCAAATGCTAGATGTCACCATCACAAGCCTTTCCACATTTGCCATAGAAAACAATCACAAGTAGAGAAGATGGAAAGAGGAGGAAGGGTGTAGAAGAAGGGGACAAAGCCAGCATAGACCAGTATTAGGGACAAACACAGGCCTTTGTCATTTCTGTTTTATTCAGTGACATAGAAAGTGAAATCTGGAGCCAGGAGGCCAACTTTCAAAAGACAGAAGCCATCACAGTAATGGTACGGGAAATGTGAATACAATATTTAACCTTGCACAGTCTTTTCACACATAAGCTAGCACAAGAGTCATTAAGAAACTACATTTCTAAAATACAGCAGCAGGTTCTGTGCATGATGCGACTTGCTATATTTTGATTGTTTATCTGTCCACTTGAACAAAAACATTTAATCTGAGATTGAATATTGAATCTAATGAATGACATGCATAAGTAATGACATGTATAAATGAAAAAGTAAGTCTGAAGCCTTGCACGTCTTGGCCTGTAGAACAGCAGCAACACCCCCATCAGTTTCACTTCACTTCCTCTGGTCAGGCAAAAGTGGAACACTCAATAATCACAGCTATAGTTCAAGGTTGGAACTGACACAAAGTGCAAAGCAGCTGAGAAGCAGACACATTGCTTAACAGCATGGTTATGAGTGAAATTCACATTAAGGACACTAATATACCACTAAATATTAAAGTTTTGATGTGAACAGTAAAAAGAGATCTTATATTAGCATATGTATTTTGTTTTTAGACCCCCAGAGAACAAGGAGATTTATTTATAAAATCTCTATTCATTTCAATAAATTATGCATGAATTTTAATCAGTTAGCAAATGAACAAGTAATTGTTTTGGAGCAATGCTAATATTCTTCATAACTTAATATGCTACTAGACCCAGAGGTATGGTGCAGATAAATCCCAAATGTACACTAGGTATCAAGTGAAGCATGCAACCATCAAAATACAGGATAAACTTTGCCAACGTTCCCAATTAACTTTCCATTAATGACTTCCATTTGTTATTCTGGATCCAAAATGATGAGCAAATCCTAATTATATATTCAGCCTGCTTTACTTGTTTAATATCTAAAATAATGTTTAAATGTCTCAAAAACAAGCAAGCCACTATGAAAGGATATTCTCTCACTCAATCATTCCCATTACAATAGTTCTTTAAAAATATATGCCAGCTATCAAAATTCAGTCAATCAATAAAATGCAAACTTGGAAACAGAAGCCAGAAAGCCAGAAAATGTCAGCAACAGAGTAAATGTCAAGGCAAAAGACACATCCATATCCATCGTTTAAATGAGATAAATTAAGTTCCTTTCAATCCTATCTGTTTCCCCATTGCTTTATCTCTTCATCAGGGAGATATTGTCAGAACAAGCCCTAGGTTAACAGTCCTACTATAGAATTTGGTGCTATGATATGTTGGTGTCTTCTGACTCCTGTGAAAAACTAACACAAACTCAATGTACTTAATAAAATGGATCCTCTAACTGTGTTTGAAATGAAAAAACTGAAATTACTATGAGCAGAGAGGAAAGAAAGAGGCAGGAAGCCTTACTTCCTCACAAGAGTCTAGATAAAACTCAGTCTCTTGTTTCTATGTTCTGGATATGGCTCAGTCACAGCCCTGAAATCCCTGTTGTGCTGTAATGTATTCTTACTCATTTCTACCCTGTGCTATGTCAACTCTCCCTCTGCCAGGTTTTGTGATCATGATCATTTGGATCCTTTAAAATAAACACATACACAAAACCTGCTTTACTACTGGAATGTCCCATGCCTTTAGAAGACGCTAAGTCTAGGAAACATTTTTGAGTTGGCTATAAACATGTAAAATGGCTTCCTCCCTCCTGGGAGATTGTTCAACTCTGCTACGTGCTAGAAGGTTGCAAAGGGACATTACTTCCCCTTGATAGAAAAATTTATAGCTCTGCTGGGAGTAGTGGAAATTATAAAAGGTTATTTAAGCTACATCAACATATTTTAACTATTGAATTATTTGCAAATAGGATGAAGTCAGAGTGGATGGTTCTAAAGGAAGACTAGAATCACTGCCCTTTGAAGTATGTAAAGTCCCATAAAATTTAACATCAGAATATTTTATATGGAGACATTGTTTTTCTTATTTCCTAGCATGTGTTGAAATGAAATCATTTCAAAGTCAATTTGATTTCCTTCCTCTTTGAACTGTTAATCAAGTTCTGATTTTTGTTAAATGATAGATTCACTAGGATGTTTCTTCACGGTGCCTCTCTGTAGCCTACTGGATAGTCAGTCTGGAAGGAAATGCGTAGAGAAACTGAGAAAGAAATGTTCTCTATGTCCAACATTTACAAGCTCACTTTTGAGTTCCCTATAATAGACTTATATAATTTGCAATTTTATTTCAATAGGATGACAACACAATAGTATCAC